AATAATAGATTCATCTTCAAATAGATCCATCATCTAGAGAGGGAAGAGAGATGTTTCGAAAAAAGAGAAAGAAAAAATGATTGGTTTTTCAGAAAAGAGAAAGAGATAAAAATTGTGTGGAAGAGAGTTTATGGGCAAAAATGTCAATTCATATTCACTAGAAGACAAAATGTGGTAATTGAGAAAACAAAAATAAAAAAAATGGCATATTTTGAAAGTAATTTAAAAAAAAATGGCATTTTTGTTAATATTTACTAAAAAACGTTTGATTTAAAGAAACAAAATGACTTGTCTTTCTTTTGACAAAAGGTAAGATTTAGATAACTACACACTTGTGATAAAAAGAAAAGAAAAGATAAATACACTTTTGGTCAATCTAGGGTAACCACGTTATGGGCCAATGGTAAAAAGACAAAAAAACAAGCATAGAAGAAATCAATAGAACAACTTAATGTCAATTAAGTATTACCATAAACAATGTATTTGATGTCTTATACTAAATATATAATGTAGTTATTAGTATGTCAAGTTGGGAAATGGAAAGCATGGTCTTGCTCTACGTTGATTTGTTCTATGTAATTTGGACATATTGTATATATACATTGAAGCAGTCTGATACAAGTTGATAGCAAATTCAAGTCTTAAGACCGTATGGGTGTGGATATATGGGTATTCCCCATCTGATAGAGTTTACCACGGTGAAGTATGTAGATAGTACTTATAAATTTTTTAATACGGATGAGTTATGTATGGTATAAAAAGAATAAACAAATATGTAAATAGTCCCTGTACATAACTCATGGGACCAAAAATGGTAATGAAGTGTGTACAGCTATAGGCCCGTAAGAAATGGTCAGAAAATAGACAGCTTCTATACAGGCTACCACATAGGATTTGTAATATAAATATAAATGGACCTAACATTATTGGCTACTCTACATCTTCTTGGCCACATAACCAAATTTTATTTTTATGTTTAGACTGCTCCAATAAAAAACGGAGGATTTCAATTAGCAGATTCGAGAGAGTCTGTTACAATGTTTTTAAAACCGGATCGGCCACCGAATCGAAAAAACTTTTTGGTCATAGGTCAATGTGGTCCGACCGGATCGAATCGGATTTAATAGTTTTAAAAAAAAAAATATAAATAGTTTTTGTATAACTATAATATCCAAATATATAATATAGRCTTTGAATAAACATATTTMTAAAAATTAATWYTGAAGAAAATCATTTTAATAACAAAAAAACTATTCAAAGACAAAGTTTAATGAGAAATAGTTAAATTTATATGTAAAAACAAAATTAAAAACATTAAACCATAAAAAAATTTAACTAAATTCAAAACTAGTATTTGTTTCTATAAATTTTAATCGTAAAAAATTAAATATGGAAAAATAGAAATTTAATAATAAAAAAAAAACTTAAACCTGGGTCATTCCAACCCGGCTAG